GTGTATTATGAAATATAATTGTTGTCCTTGCAAATATAAAGACTATGAAACACCAAATCGATATATTGAAATGTCAACTCCACATTGTCTTGAAAAAATATTAAAAATACCATCTTTTCAAGTACAAGCTGATGACTACAAGCACAAGCCAATGAACTACAAGCACAAGCCGATGAACTACAAGCACAAGCTGATGAACAACAAGCACAAGCCAATGAACAGGTGCAATTCGATGAACAGATGCAATTTGATGAACTACAAGCACAAGATGATAATGAACAAGAGCAAATTAATGAACAAGCGCAAGTCAATGAACTACAAGCAAAAATGTGTGGGCAAGCACAGTGCAGGCAAGCACAAAGGGGGCAAGCATAAAGCAAGCAAGCACAAAGTGGGCAAGCACAAAGAGGGCAAGCACAAAGCAGGCAAGCACAAAGTGGGCAAGCACAAAATGGGCAAGCACAAAGCAGGCAAGCACAAGGCAGACAAGCACATGATGGGCAAGCACAAGATGGGCAAGTGCATGGTGGGCAAACACAAGGTGGGCAAGCACAAGATGGGCAAGCACAAGACAGGCAAGTGCAAGGCGAGCAAGTGCATAGTAGGCAAGCACAAAGTGGTCAAGCACAAGGTGGGCAAGCGAATAGCAGGCAAGAACAAGGTGGGCAAGCAAATGGCGGGCAAGCACAAGGTGAGCAAGCACATGGCAGGCAAGCACAAGTCAATGGACAAACTAATGAACAGGTTAGCATTATTAAAATTTATTATACAGTGTTATATAATATTCATATTATGAAATGTATATTGAAAATTAATTTTGATTTAGGAAAATGAGCCTGCAAATAATGTATTAAAACCTTTATTGACATTATCAAAAAGGCCACGTAGGTCAAAAGTACCAAAAAAATAACAGAAGTTGTCAAGGTTCTAATTACTCCTAATGGGATAGAAGATAGCTCAGTTGAAGCCTATGAACCAATGGGTCAAATTTTAGTCGATTTATTTAATATTGCAAAACAAGCTGAAAAGCAATCAAAAATGTCTAATTTAATAGAAATTAGGAAATGGTATAATTATGCTGAAGCTTTCAAGAATCAAGTAAGGAAATTAATAAGTGAGGGTGTAAAGGATAGAGCAGCTCATATACAAATATACAATACAATGTTACCTTATATGAGTCATCAAATGACAATAGGCAATTTTTATCAGATAATACATAAGGCACAAAATATATTTAATATATTTAGTGAAGTTGGTGTTAGAGCAATTGACCAACCCAGATGTTTTATGGCAAATCATCTTTCAGAATACAGCAATGATGATATTAAAAGAATTGTTGAACATGTAAAGTGTAGAAGGGTTAGTTAAATCATGTAATCAATATTAATATGAATCATGTAATCAACATTAATATGTATTTTATATAATTGCAATTAAATGAATTGAATTGGTATAACAAATAATCAGTAATAAATTTTTTATTTTTTATTTTTTTTGCTTATACTAAGGCCTTTTAGTTATGGTGGCTACTGCCTTTATTGTGAATTTAATTATGATTACATAACTTGTACAAGGTTACCTCTATACTACACTAGCAGATAGCAGTACAAGCTCCCGTACACCTAATTAGATGCTGTCTAACCTAATCTTGACCTTTCTGTCTGTATGTCTGTCAGGCCATTATATATTTCAGAGTACGTCACCTGACTATAGGGCTTCAGAGGGCCCCCCTGCTAACTAACTACCCACATTTAATCTTTGCTAACAGGGTTCACCCTTGCAGAGTTCACCCAGATCCTAGCACTGACTTCACAACATATCCCTAGTACTTTAGTATACCTCTGTTTCCAATCTCAAACTCCCAATCTAGATAGCCCAGTAGGACTGTGACCTGTCCTTGGTATCCCAGGGTCTGCCCCCCAAGGTTCTTTTCCTCCAGTTCAAGTTTTCCAGTGGCCTGGTTGGTAGTACCCCTCATCAAGTTTCTTGCTCGTCCGATTTCTTTCACATTGGTATCTGTTTCATAGGTCTAGTCTTTATAGTAGTACTGTCAAAGATCCATGTTACCTCTCTACTCAGGTCTTCCCAAGTGGGCTTCAGTTATCCCAGTTTATGGATTTACATAGCCACAGATGCCCCATGACCTGCCAGTTATCTGATATGACTGTGTTACAGATACTGATCCCAACTGATCAATAGATAGCCATTGCCATATTACCAGTTTAAGGTCTTATCTTGTGTTTGCACTACCTAATGCCAGTTTGCATTCCTCTGTGTAACTCTAGCATTGCACAGATGCCCGTATACACCAATGTAACATAGGTAGTTTTCCAAATTTTCACCGTTAATGGGTTTTGAACTCCCAACCTATCACTTGGAGAGTTGACAACTTATCTACTTCACTAAGTCGCCATACTCCCATCAGTAATAAATTAAAGTAATAGATTAAAGAAATAGATAATAAGTAATAATAATATCCTGGCTTATTAGGGATTAGTAGGTTTTTTCCTAGATTGCGTTATAGCTATTATCATAAATTCTGGGACATCTGCTCATTACCTAAAA